ATCCAAAACTTTAATAAAATCAATAGTCACTAGTCAGGACATTCCAGATAGTCTTACGGTGGAAATTACAGGATAACAAGAAATGGACGATAAAGCGGCAGGACTCAACACTCAACAGCAGACCGGAATCGCGATTCGCGGGTGTCCCAGCATTTAGCTGCTCAAGCATGCAAACCAAACAATCAAACAAAGATAAAGAAATGAATAATGCAGAAAAAACAGCTAACTATGTTAAGGCGCACTTCAAGTTCCAAGTCTTCCAGTGTGCATGCTGTTAAAAGTGTCTGCAGGCTAATACTGGAAGCAATCACATTTGGGGGGTGTTCCATAACATCTGCCGGTAGTGGTGCCCTGCTTTCTGCAGTAATCGATACACACTGTGTCCTCATCTGTCAAATTTGCAGGGCATAGCCAGATCACCGTGCCGTTATTGCTCAACTTCTCCACCCCGCGGGGAACACCGTTCGCAGCATTCAGCGAACCCTCCGCCCCGGCGTCGACCCCGGTGTATATGGTCGCCCCGGTCGGCGTTTCCTGCTCTTCATCTTCTTCTGATGCATAGTCTACACTGGAAGCCACGAATCCTACCATACAACACATAATCAAAATGGAGACAAACCGCTGCATGGTGGAGTACCCTGTACTGCACGATTGTAGCAAAACAAATCCCGGTGGTAGGGCAGTAGTGGCAAGGACCGGGTGCGTAGAACGGAAATCAGCCTAATGAGCAGCCATCGCGGTGATCTCAATCAGTACGTCGTAACTCGTTAGTCAACGCTGGGAAAATGCGTGGTAGCAAGCTTTCAGCCGCGTGCTTGTTGGCTAATTAATTGCTGTCGTGATGGACCATGACCTTCAATGTTAATGGCGCCATACGCTGTCGGCATTAAGAACTGATAGTGGTTCGATAGAAATCGGCTGGAAATTTCAATCACGCGCAGTTGTCCATGTGTAGTAAAACTGTAATAATTATCGTTACAGTAATGCAAGTGTATCCTGTAGTAACAAGACATTTCTTGAACCTCATGCGTCTTTGGAATAACAGAACCGGAACCGAAACCGATACGTATAATCGGTACAGTACATAAAGTACAGCAAATGAGGTGATTTAAAAACTATGGGTGAGTCGCAAGAGTCGTAACAAGAGAGACGTCATCGTGATACCAATGACAGTTTATTCAGTGCTCTGATCCTTTTGGATTTCTGTTTTAATATAATGCGTTTTTCGTGGTCCACGTTAATAAAGTGGTTTCGCCATCAGCACGCGCAGTAAGGTTGGGCTTTACCTCATGCTTATGATGCTTATCAGCTGATTCAACCCAGTAAAAAAGGTGGAGTGCCACCGAATTTACGTCGTTCATGTGGGTACTTCCTGGTTTGTTGAAACATCTTTGCTGAAGGTGAAGACCACAGTACAAATTACTGAATTTCGGACGGTAATCGAAATGCGGCTTAAGCAAAGCTCGTATTCGACTGCAAGCATTTGACGCTGAGTTGCAATTAATTTTGTCAAAGAAACTCGGCCGCATGCGCTTATTACTGTACTTTTATGGGTCTAGCTATTTTTATGACACATAAGTAATGCAGTTTTACACAGCACAGCTGCTTTTGCCAGCGATTTTTCTAGCTGATTTCCGACAAAAGCTGTTATACAGATACATTGTGAGTTTCAAGTACAAATAGTACTACTTTTTGTACTTGAACACTATAGAAATTAGAAAGTGATGTACTTGTTACTAGTCATAACCGGTGGTTCTTGCCGGCATCGACATTAAAAGGGCAGAGTCCATCGCGATAGATGCGCAATTCATTAGCAAACGAGCACGCGGCGACAAGCCTTCCACCACCACTTTTGCAAGCGCTAACCATGAGTGTCTTCGCATTTGATTAAAAATCACTGCGACAGACGATAGCTGCTCTTTAGGCTTTCTTTTAGGTTTAGCCGTGGTTCGCCGCTGTCGGTCCGCAACGGAATAACTTTCTTGCAGCCTGGTTCCAAGAAACACAGCATTATTCCACTATGAAGCTGTATATCCCTATTCTTGTCCTGTGCTTGGTAGGATTCGCTGTTTCCAGTTTGGACTATACCGACGAGGATGACGATCAGGAAACGCAGACCGGCGAGACCATCTACACCGGGGACACAGTGGCGGGGAATACGCTGAACTCCGGATCCGGTGTCGCACTCGGCGGTTATACGGCACCGAGCGGTAATGGCACGACAATCTCACTGTGTCCTCCCGATTTGATCGATGAAAACAGTGTCTGTGCGACGTACTGCCAGAAGGGGGGCAGCACTAGCGGCGTGTGTTTCGGCACGCCCAGCAAATGTTCTTGCCTTTTGTATTAAGCGTGATGTTTGCGTTTTTGTCAGAGAAATTTTTATGCAGTCTTATTATAGCAGAATGGTACGTTCCACTGCCTCTGTTGTACTCTGGAGCAAAAGCATAAGTATTTTGATACTATCTTGTATTTTAGCCTATTCCCAGCTGCGGCTCCTCTTGTCCGCTTACAAACTGTTGTCCTCATGGACTTTTTCACTTTTTGGAATGGATATCCTGGTTACTAATTTCATTAAAGATTCCGTGAATTGTAATGTAAAAAACCAGTTGCTACAAATTTATTTGCCGCCGGTTAATGTTAAGCCGCATACTGCCTCTAAATTTATTTGTTGTCCTTGTAGGAAGTTTGTTGAAACACTTTCCTAGTCTTCCAGGTGAAAAGTGTTCACAGTAAAAGAGCTTTCAGAGAGACAGACAGTAAGCATACAATACATTTGGCTTATATCAGGCAGTTTCGTTCATCCGGTTTTACTTCTTAGCTTTCTCAGGCTCTCATATTGCCGAAAAAACTAAACACATGGAGATCTGCGAAAGGAAACCATGTTTTTCGATGATGCGTACAGCTCTTGTAAAACGCATAGAACTTGCTTCCTATAGGCCTGGCTAGCTTGGCATTTGGCGTGGAAGGAAACTGTAAATTTCCCGTAAACTGCAAGTTTGGCCCTTTCAAGTGTAGCAGTTTAGACTTCTTAAGGAATGACCCAGATACGTGGTATCGAATTCGTGTACATATGAACACAAAAACTTTCACTTTTGCGCGCTCACAACCCCTTTTTTACTTCCATAATGAGACTTTTGGTACACCAGAATGCATTTAAACTTTTGGAGATGTCCTTACAAATAAAGTCATAACTCCCAAAATTGGATGATGCGCGCACAAACGGTCTCACGCCAGTGTATACGAAACATCTGGCCACAGAATGTCATAAAACAAAACAAAAAAAGTTCGAGAGTTCGGGAAAGTGAAAGTTTTCATGCATGCACACGAGTATGGTACCATGTACTGGGTCACTTCCCTCGAGTTGACAAAACTAAAAGCAAATCTCGTTCCTGTTCAGTAAAGCCGAATTAAATTATCAACCACATTTCTGCGTCTCTTCGTTTTTTAGCCGCGCACCTAGCAGTTTCACCGCTGCTACACCTACACCGCGGCCATGTACTGTATTACTTCCAGTGATTTAAACTGCAAAGCACATGCCACGTACAAAGTATGTACTTAGCAATTTGCATTATTCACTGGCAGTCACTGCGACCATCTGCACGAGTGCAATACTATGTTATTGTGCAGCAGTGGCGTTTTAAGCAATTTTATTGCTGATTTTACTGGCATTGCACCATTTGTGGACCCTCCGGTTGTCAAGCACGCGTGCGGTGGCCCATGCCACAGGTGTTTTTCAAATCTTTGAAAATTTATAACTTTGTTCACTCCTGCAAATTTTATGTATAGTCTTAAAATGCAGAATAATACACAGTATTAGGCAAAATAAATGTTTTCTGTTTCTTCTTTAGGGTAATGCAGTATGAGCCTCTCAGGAAGTTAACATAGCCGCCTATGGGAAATCCTCCATAGGCGGCTATGCTAACCGCGCAGGCTAACAGCGCACAATCCTGAAAGAAAAATTAAAAAGCATTTCTTTTGCCTGATACTGTGTATTATTCTGCATTTTTCAAGACTATGCATAAAAATTTAATGGAGGAATGAACAAAGTTATGAATTTTCAAAGATCTACGTTAAAACAGCCTGTGGCATGGGCCACCGCACGCGTGCTTCTGTTACGTTGTCACTTGACAACTGGAGGGTCCACAAATGGTGCAATGGCTGTGAAAGCGTGGACCCAATGAAGGTTCACGCGTAGGAACAGAATTGACGGAATTCTGCCTACCAAAAAGCCTAGCAATGCTATAAATGCGCCTACGCTACGGAAAGCGAGAAACGGCGTGATTGCTAGGAATTTATAAAACGCAGACTAAATTCGATAGAATTTCCTCATCGACAACTCCGCATTGCTGACTACAGCAAGCGTGGAAAATGCGCACGTAGCCGCCACACAGTGCGGGTGCGTGCAGAACAGCGTGCTTCCGCCACGCGTAAGGCGGGCGTGCAGCAAAACACAACAGACTGCCAAAGCGAGGGTGTACGCATGTACGCCTGCGCTCACATGCCTCTGGGAGGGAGGCTGAGCTCCGTCGAAGCAAATCCACATCCAATTCCTTGGGATCCTTGACGGCTCGTCTGTGTGATTAATAAAACATCGAGATTTAATCTCCTTTTAACATCACAAATTCCAATTACATGTGTGAATAAAGAGATCTCGAAACAAAAGTAAAAACAGTAAAAAATATCAACAGAATTCATTATCAAAACGACTAGGATCCTCCGACTCCTAAAGGTCACTGGGTCCTGTCAACCGTAATCCGCTTTGGTCCATTCCGCTCTGTTGAGCAATCTTTTCATCACAATGAGAGATCCGCTTTAAGGAATAAGGTGCGTATCAAGTACGACTTTTTGCAATACTGATGCTTCCTCTTTGGAATAATTGCGTATCAAGTACGACTTCTGCAAAATGAGATTCTTCCTCTTGGACATGGAGGGACGTCTTGAAAGACAAGCTTAATGCTTCCTCCCTGGTAAGGTCATTCTCTTTTCTCGATGACTCTCTTGAGCCGTGAAGTTCTCAAAGGTCATCCCTTTTTCTTTGATGTGCGACTCGTTTGGGCCATGACGATCCCAAAAGGTCATCCATTGTTCCATAATGAGTTCCATATTAAAGGTCATGGAGGAACTTAGCCGATTTTTGGCTTTCAAGCATTTCTGCTTGCCTCCCTTGTAAAGGTCATCCTTCTTTTCAACCATTTTCTTCGATCGCACATCCTTTTCTTTCCCGTGTAGTGCAAATTGACGCGCACTTTTTCTTTTCCTTACCAGGTTCGAGGGCCGGTTAACGCCGTAACTCCTCTTTCTTTTGAGGCCGGTGATCGCCGTAACCTCAACATCTGAAAGTTTTACTCCTATTTTCTTGAACTCTTTCTCTTTTTCACCCTTGTGGCTTCTGTCATTCCGCGAGAGTGTGCCGACTCAGTAGGCCGCAACTACACTCTAAAAGTGACGTTTTAAATGTAATGAGGAAGGCCGGTTAGCGCCGTTACTCTTCCTGCTTCGAGGGCCGGATGACCTCCGTAACTCCCCATATTTCGGATCGCCTTGATCCTCTGCAACAAAACTCTGAAACCAATAGAAACACAAACGATATGACAGTTCAACAAGTTATGTCTCCTTCGCCCTGATACTGTACCTTTATCACCATTCTCGTGCTGCCGACTGATGGCCGTAACTAGCACATCAGCGATGCCCTAAAGGTCATCACTGATCATTTGAACCATTGTCGCGGTTCCGATCGAAACGTCGTCTTTCTTTTTCATTACGATCAGACGTTCGATCTCGAGGTTCCCTTTCCCTCTCCTGCAGCTCGTCTCCTTCGCTCCGGCTGCTAGTAGCACTGTGACGATTTCGGTCACGTCTGCGTTGGATACGGATCAGGTGATCTCTCGCGTCGACCATGCGCGCTTTCAATCCTTCATCATATGGATTGTCTCGTGACCTTTTGCACAATTCGACATAATCCAAGTGCAGCTGCTGGTTTCTTCGTCCACGTCGACTCATCTCATTGTCCTGCGGCTGTCGCGCAAGTTCCGGTCGATAGCTGCTTTTGTTAACGCTGATCTCTTGGATGAAATCATAGACGAAGTCGGACGGCTGAATGAATCGTGTTCCCATCGTGATTCTGATCCGTTCCGCACATCGGTGAGCATGCATTTGCGCTTGACGTCGCAGGCTATCGTCGAATTTCATCGCCTTCTGGACGTCTTTTAGCTGCTTCTTGGCCGTTTCCGAAGAATTAAAGTTCGCAACTGGCGTTCCCAACTTTATGACCTGCGCAGTCAGTGCCGGCGGTATCTCCGTGCCTCTTTGAGCGCTCTTTCTCAATTGGTGGTGCGTTTCGTAATGGCCAAGCCTTGCTGCGAAAATCTTTTGGATCGTAGCACGGTGATCAGGTGGCGAATCTGGTTTCACCACTAATCCCAACGCAGCCCTTCCTGCGAGGAGTCTCAGCGCCGGATTTACATGGCGTAACACAAATTGTGCCACGTGCAGACGTCTTTCCTTGATGTCTCTATACTGGAACTGTGTCATTCCTGTTGGATCCGGTGTGTCCAACGGTGTTTCCAAGAGACTCAGGTCGATCAAACTGACAAGGCCGCATTCTCTCGTCGGGAAGTAATGAAGATTCGCTGACTCTTGCGTTATGATCAGATCTTCCCATTGCCCATACTCGTACTCCTTCGCATATCCCGAATCGTTGATGACCTGGCGCAAGTTCATGAGAAGCCAGTACACCTTATCGAATTCTTCTTTATTATCCGGGCAATGCCCACTGAACGGCAAATCTCGTTCGTCTGTTCCATGATGTCGTTCATTTCATATACCAGCTCAATGGTTTGTAGGGATTGTCTCCTCGGAGCCGTGACCTTTGATTGACCTTTCTGGTCGCCCTTCTCTGATTCCGATTCTGGCGGTGCATTACTCGCCGTCTCTGCGCTTGTAAGTTGTCGCTCCAGATCGAAGATGATGTTTCGTCTCGACGGTCGCATGTCCTCGTCTCCATGGACTTCAATGACATTTGAGGATGCTGGACTACATTCCATGACCTCATCCATCTGCTGTGCCGGTTGTTTCTCGGCTGACTTGAACGTTGAACAAACAGAATGAACTACTGATTGCATTCTGCGCGGGCTCTTAGGCGTGCGGTGGCTTTCTGAGCTGGATGACCTTTTGCTGTTGTAAGATTTGTCTCCAAACTCATAATCATCCATATTCAAGTTATCCTGGACCCACTCTTGATCATATGGCCCCTTTGAGGATGTTGATTTACTCGAGCCCTCACTTCTTCCTTCTCGATTCTGTGAATCGCGATTCTGCGTTTCCTTAGCAGCCCGTTCCTTCTCCTGCTGCCTATTACAGGTTTCGTTGATTTTCCTGTATTCCTCCGCCAAGCGCTTTTCTTCCGCTTCTTCTTGGCGGCGCTTTTCTCTTTGTTCTTTTTCACGTCGGATACGTTCTTCATCCCTTCTCTTTTGCTCCGACGTACGCGTATCTCTCGCGTATCCACTGTATCGGTCGTTATGATGTCTGTCCCATGACCTTTCTCGGGAGCGGTCTGATGACCTTTCATAGCCGCGGTTGCGATCATCTCTTTGAGGCGATTTTGGGCGTTTGAACTCCTCTTTCTTGAAGTTCCGAAGGGCCTCAACCACATCTTTCTCTCTTTTTCGAAAGTTTCGCATCCTGTCGATTCGTTCTTCGATCGCGATTTTGATAACCTGGGATGGTCTGTTTCCTTTCGTTAGGTTGACCTTTTCGTCCAGGAAGATTTTGTATTCCTCTTTCGATACCGCGAGTGGATCTTGCAAGATGATGTCAATCTGCTGTATCAGCGACTGTCTGATTACAGCTGCTTCTCCTTCATCTTGTTTCTTCAATATCGCAAATGGGGCAGGTGCGTGACCTTTAGCTGCTTCGGCTAAACCCTTCTCTGCCGCAGCTTTCTCTTTTTCTTCTAGCCGCTTTCGCTCTGCCTCGCGCTTTTCCTGTACCATTCTCATCGTGTCTTCTTCAAACTTCTTCCTGAACGCATCCGCTTCTGGTGTTTTCGGCGGTTCAAGGGTGATATCCCATCCCGGTCTGCGTCCGACCCACATTCTGTATTTATCTTCCAATATCATCCGGTCTTCTGGTGACAGTTTCATCCATGTGTCTCCCGTAACCAAATGCCGGAACACATCGAGGTTACCCCCTTCTCGCCTCTTCTGGTACCACTACTGCTTGGTTTGGTACTGCAACCACGCAAAGCCAGCATGGAAAACGTTCGTTCGACAGGATGTTGTTTCGTTTACAATCCGGGCAGTCCTCATTATAATTCGTTAAAGGATCCCCCGTGACCTTCTTTACCGCTGGTCTTTGTCCCTTTCGCCACGTTCTGGTTGGGTTGGCTCCGTTCAGCCATTCTGATGTCTCAGCCTGCAATCTCAAACATTATAATGCTATGACCTTTACGTTAACCCTTCTCAACGCCTATTTTTACGCCTATAGTAACTAGGCTATGCAGTGCTGAGCTGAGACTTTCTCGTTGTTTCATGATGACCTTTGTCATCCTTCTTTGACTGAACCATTCTCAACTGTATGGTGACCTTTCTCATCTTAGCCCATTCGCTAAGTAAATTAGCCCCTTCGCTAATTCAACTCTTTTTGCAGAGTGTGGTTCGAAAGTAATTTGAGAACTACGGTCTGCTCCTTTTCCTTCTCATTTCTGATTCTGATCCTTCATTTTGTGTGGTGGACCTTCCTCCCACACATGTTCTTCCGTTTTACGCTTTCGCGATCCAGTCGTATTGGTCGACTCCATCCTTCTTCCATGTTCTGATGGTTCCGTCTTTGACCAAACTGTCCAACGCGTTCTGGATCTTGAATCGATCCCCGTTCATATTTTCTTGGCCGGAATCATACTGAACTGCCATGTAATTGGAGAGGTCTTCTGCGGTGAACCCGTTAGTCCCGCCTATGTTCTGCATGGCATCTTTAGTCAAAGCGTCCTTCCAAGCCTGGGGACCTGGTTTCGGTCTCTGCTTTCGTTGTTCTTCCGCCGGAGGAATGTAGTAGTTCGGTTGATTCGTATTCGTGTATCGTACACCGATCTTTCCTTCTTTATACGCTCTTTTTATGAGCTTGTTGACTTGTGTCCTGCTGACTCCGGCGTCGCCGAATGCTTTTGAAATATCCGTCTTATCCATTTCTCTCGACGGGGCTGCACCGATCGCAGCGTAAATTGTCATCCACGGGACGTTACTCTCGTTTAGCTCGTCGTCCGTCTCCTCTTTCTGCGATGGGGACTGCACTTGCTGTGTAGCTTCTACCGGCGGTTGCGATCCAGTAGGCTGGCCCATCTTTCCATGACTTGAGCTCGGATGACCTTTCTCCTCGACTCCACTTTGCGCTGAAGTCTGATGACCTTTAGCTGTTTCGTCCGCAGCATGACCTTTAACGTTGTCTTTCCTTGCGTCACTTTTTTCGTGTGTAGCCTTTAACGATGTCAATGCTGCTGAACTGGATCCACTTGCCCTTTGGCTTCGTACCGCAGCAAGTGCTTCCTGTACCGACATCGGTTTCGGTGGTCCCACCAACGCAATAGCCTCTTCAGCCGATTTCGGCGCATGCAGTTTCGGTTCACCCTTCTCTACCGTTTCTGCCTCTATTTGTTCAACGACATTTTCTTCAACGACCATTGATTCCTCTATTTGCTCTTCTTTCTCTTTCTTCGATGAAGTTGCCGCTTTTTCACTGTCCAATTTGATCTGACTCAAGATGGGGCATTCCGCATCGAGTCTCGGATCCAATATAATGGTCGTATCTTCGCTCATCTCTTCCTTCTTGTATTGTCTCAGTTCTTCTGGGACGGCGTTCAATGAACTGTATCTGATGGTAACACCTTTGTGCGGGTTTGTGGTGTGCAGCTTCTTTTCCGCCACCATCTGTGTTAGCGCTCTTCCGAGTGACCTTTCAATGACTGAAGCATTTCCCTTCTCTTTGCTCCAGACTCCATTAATGAACTGCGCCATACGGTGTTTCGTCGTGCCCATCGGACTGCACATCCCGATAATGGCGCGTTCAATCCGTTCTCGGATATCTGCGTTTGCTGTAGCCAACTTCCGCTCATTATTATTCCCGGTGATGTACAATTTCGCTTTGGAGCCATATTTCGGATGTTTCTGGAGGACTTTTCCTGTGCTCCTTGCGTATTCCAGGACGGCGTTGTACTTGCTCTGCGGCAGTCTTTTATTCGTCTCTTCGCAGTACGCCTTGACGTCCTTTCTGAATTTCGATGTAACTGATCTCGTCGCCTTTCCCCAATCTGCTGTTGCTCCGATGAGGATTTCGTCAATCTCTTCGATTGTTGTTTGTTCATTCGACTCGCAGACGAAGAATCGGTCATCGTATTCGTCATCCGTGTAATCCAACTCGCTGTCCCCTTCGACAGGTCTCCAGTTCACGATGTCAGCTGCATCGACTCGTCCGATAAGAGTGTTCCTGGCAGTGACCTTTGGTTTCTTCTGTGCATCCATATAATCTGCCAAGCTGGGGTCAGATTTTCTTGTGTCTCTCTGACCTTTCTTTCTTGTATCTTTCTCTTTTATTGACGACTTCGACGATGCGACGCTGACTTCCGATTTCGCCGATTCGACAGAAGTATCCCTTTTCTTCTTCTCTTTATCAGCCTTGTCCTTGCGTTCTTTCATCGTCGACGCATAGACCGGCTGCATCGTCATCGCTTCCTCCATCACCTTGCGATTGACCTT